TCACACAACTGGGGTACATACATGGGCATGCAGGGAAGTGCTTGTACACCAAGGGCAAAAATGAACAATTTTCTTTTGTTTTGGCCTTTGTGGATGGTTTACGTATTGCAACTGAAAATAACCAAGGCTATACAGAAGTTGTGGAATACCGTATTTTTCGCCCTGTAGGACGCACTTTTCCCCCTCCAAAAATGAAGGGGAAATGTGTGTGCGTCCTATGGGGCGAATACAGGCTTTCGCTGAAGCTTGGAGAGTGAGAGGGGTCGGTGCACACCGACCCCTCTCGCTCTCAAGGCTTCAGGAGGCTATCAGCAAGCCTGGGGAGCCCGCGGGAGTTCCCGCAGGGCTCCCTAGGCTGCGGATAGCAGCCTGCCGCCCGACGCGCAGGGTGCCCTGAAGCAGAGCGCCCCGCGCGCTGGGCAGACATCAGCCAGCCCCACAAGCTTGGGGGACAGTGGGGAGGCGCAGCGCCGCCATCCCGCTGTTCCCCAACCTGGTTTGGGGGGGGAAATAAATAATTTTTTTTCCCCTTTATTTCCCCCCCAAAAAATTAGGTGCGTCCTATGGGACGAAAAATACGGTACCTAAGCAAAGAAGTAGAGATAAAGGAACTGGGAAATATGTCTTTCTTCTTGGGTAGTCAAATAGAAGATAAGATCCTTATTCTTTTGACTCTAAGTCAAAAACAGAAAGTTATTGAATCTCCTGACAGTCTAGGAGTGAAAGAAGTCAAGGAAGTAGCCATGCCAATGGTGACTGACTTTCTAAAGAATAAAGGTAAGTCTGAACCCTTCTCAGACAACAACAGGTCAGCTATATGAAAGATCCTTTACTGAACCACAACAACCTGACCTGACATAGCAAATGCAGTGGGAATCCTAAGCAGGAAAATTAAAATCCTAAGCAGGGAAGTTAGCTTTCCCACTGAGAAGGACTAGACTGCTGTGAAAAGAGTTGCTAGATACTTAAAGGGAACCATGAGCTGTAAACTTAAACTGCCAGCCGACAACTATCCAAAACTACCAGGTTACAGAGATGTTGACCAGAGACACAAAGGATTACAAATCAACAGGTGGATTTATCTTTATGTTTGGAAATAGTCCTGTTTCCTGGGCCAAACGATGCACATTGGGGTGAAATATCACAATGTGTGCGGTGACACAAGATGGACTTGTTGACTTGGTGTATTGTCAAACCACAGAAATGGCAGTTGACATTCTCACCAAGCTACTACCAAGAGACAATTTTGAGAAGCTTCAAGTCAAGTTAGGACTGTGGGTGCTTCATTAATTGCCCATGCAATGGTTATATTTGTCTGAGAAGTAGTTTGTGGGATAACCAGCCTCATACAACCAACATGCATAAGTCTAATTAATGCATGAAATAGTTAATGCCATAGAGTAAGCTGCCCTGCCAGGCTTATAGAATCATAGAATCATAGAGTTGGAAGAGACCACAAGGGCCATCGAGTCCAACCCCCTGCCAAGCAGGAAACACCATCAGAGCACTCCTGACATATGGTTGTCAAGCCTCTGCTTAAAGTCCTCCAAAGAAGGAGACTCCACCACACTCCTTGGCAGCTTATTTAAGTCATTCCCCCTCAGCTTGGGGGAAAGGTAATCAAAGGCCTTTGTTCGCCTCAGTCTAACAGGCAAGCACAACATGTTTTGAGCTGGTTGCTGCAGCTCAGACTGTATGGCTTTTACAAGCCTAAGCTAATAATTTCCTATACAAATAATTTAGGAAGTTTCACCAATGTAACTAAGTCAAGTGTTACTGCCCGTGCAACTTTTTTTGAATGCTGTATGGAAAAGCACATGAATCTGACCCTTGGAGAGTTTGTAACTAAACCACTTTTAATTTACCAAGTGTGTGGTCTTTTTCTTTGCTAGGGAAAGAGGGGGACTTTGGAAACAGCTTAGAAGGGCATATTTTAAAAGTCTAACAGCCTATATTACCATGCTTTACTTTGCTGCATGTTTTGTGATTTTAAATCTCTGCTGGGGTTTTCTCACCAAACTTGGATCTTGACATCCAGGAATTCTCCTTTATATACCTATGTTTTCCTTGCCATCAACAAGATCATGGCATATCTTTTGTAGGCACTGCTGCATTTAGAATCCTGAATTATATAATATTTCCTTATTCAACGTGTGCATGTTGTGGCTGTTACAAAATGGTATACTCAGCAGTCCTGTTAAATCTCACAGAAGTGTATGCTTTGTGTCTTCCTCAAAGCTCAGTTTTGAGCAACTGAATACATTTAAATTGACTGCTTCAAAAGATTTTCAAAACAGTAGGAACTTAAAAGAGAGGAGCCAGATATCCCCAATGGTTGACACTTAAAAATCACTATAATGCATCTTAAATCAAATAATTTATTAAGTAATTACATGTAAACACTTTATATTGACTAGCAAATACATTGCTCAAGTACTCCTCTTCCAACAACAAAGGAAAATACCCCCTTTATAAACAGAGTCAGACTGACTAAAGATATACATTCTACTGTACAGTGAATGTATATACAATTGACACTTTGATTTTCCTTATCTTATATTCATTTAAAGTGCAAAGGATATAAATTTGTTCAGCATTGCAAGACAGTGTCAATGGTAACTTTGGTCTATCAAGTGAAACTAGATAGCGGCCCCGGCAGTATTTTTAAAAAGCAGAGAAACCAGACCTTGCAGGACAAATCTTAAAAAAAAATAAATTCCTTTTCTCATATAATTGAAAATATTTTTAGACAGGAAATATACTATTCTGAATAAATGAAACGAACATTTCTTAGTTACAATCTAGAGTTAGTAGTTACATACATACAATTACACAAATACATAAACCACAGAATGTCTGAACATTGCCCGACATTGCCCATTAGATCAAAATACAACAGTTATGAGATGGTAGCCAGGAATAATAAAAACAGGATAGCAGCCATTTACATAAATAAAAGCAAATATTTTTGCCTAGTTCAACATTCCAATCTTCTAATAAGTGTGTACTCTTACAGTGTATGCTTGTATGATAATTAAAACGTTACAGAAAAACATGACCACCAATGGATATTGGTACATCTAATAAAGAGTAACTAGCCAAATAATAATAATGCAGAGATCGGAGTACATCTAATAAAGATTAACTAGCAAAAAATAATAATGGAGAGACTTGAGAGATATAATTCTAGCCTTTCTTGAGAGATGTTTTTTTCCTGGTCTTTTCAGAAAACTCACATGTGAAAAAATACGCTACAGGTTTTGTCCTCATCTTCTGAAAAGAAAAAAAGGAAAAGACGGCTTTGCACTGCTAAATCCTTCCATGCAATCATGTACGAGGTGCTCAACTATATGGAGAATAGTTAGCATAAACTGTGATCATGGCTGCACTCTCCCCATCAGCTGAAATTCCAGAGATGGCTGAACTGGCCTCTCTTCACAATGACATGTACCTTCATACAAGGCTGGGTGGAGGAGTGGCTCTTAGGGCTGGAAAGGGGGGCTCGGGTGTAAATTTAACAGCACCCTATATTAGAGGACCAAGTGATTATCCATCTGCCTTTAATGCTCAGCGTAATAACGAAATCTTGGAATTCCAGGTTTATGTATGCAGGTACATAATCGTGTGAAGAAAGTGCTTCCGGGAACTAATCCTGTTTCCAGAGATGTCAATTGAATTCTTTGCCATTCATCTGAAATGTATAAGAAAGGTCCTTCAGTTTCACACATAACTAGGATTGTCATATTTCAAAAAGTGAAAATCTGGATAGTTGTTGAGCTTTTTCAGGCAAAGTTTTTTTTGGGGGGGAGGGGGTTGCCCAAAGTTGTGAAATAAAACGAGTTATTTAGCTATTTTTTATGAAATCTACACTACTGACATGGGCTGCCATACGTCCAGATTTTCCCAGACATTTCAGCAATTTTTATCCGGACGCTGTTTGCGAGGCTGAATACCAACCGGCTATGTCCAGGAAGTTCTGGACGTATTGCAACCCTAGGCATAACTAATGCTGTTTTTACACTGTAAACCTCCCTGTGCTCTTTGGATGAGGGGAGGTGTAGAAATTTAATTTACTACTACTACTACTAATAATGATAATAACACAGGGTTTATTGTCCTCCTCCCTTGTTCTGATGTACCAGTAAACCAGATGAAATGCTTGAGCTGTGTACAGAATGCTAAAGTGCCACTTCTGTGCAAGATTTGCTATAAATCAAGGGTTTCCAAAAACAGGAAAAATAGGGACATGTAAGGCCAGAGGAACGTTGCAAGCTGATTTTAACTACCTGCTACTGGAGTAATGGAAGAAGCATAGAAGTATAGAAGGGGTTTCTCTCTCTATGTGTGTGAGTGTTCCATGAGAACTTCTTCTCTTTTTTTAACTGTTTCTCTGATGGCCTCTAATTATCAAAAATATTCAAATATTTGCAATTTCATTATTTCATATACAATTTCAAATTGGCTTGTTAACAACCACTCCATTTTTAAGATATGAGACAACTACTGAGCTTTAGCAAATGTGGGCTTTAGAATTCCATGTCTTAAAATATTATTATTTAGCCCCATGAGAAAAGTTTAAGAATTATACACAGAGCTACCTTCTTTCCTTTAAAATACTCATACAGTAATAATACTGATGGCAGAGTGTGGAAATGTGAAGTACCTTGAAATGATTTTACATGGATCATTCACATTAAACAATTAGATATTGACAGTGTTATAAAATTACAATACTGACAGTAAAAAACCAAGACTGATATACACCATTAATATAATCTTCTTTCCCCTTTGAAATTACGAAGGAATTGCTTATATAGGAAAGGCTAATACTGTAATAGTATTTTTGCTTTGCAATTTGTAAGTGCTGAAGATAATTTGTCATTGACTTTAAATAAGTGACTTCCCATGTGTGTTCCACAGTGGTAACGGGTTCTCCTCAAACCTTTTGAATGCTTTGAAGAAGGGCCAGTGTCAATTGCTCAGATTAAAGTTGTTGCCAATTACATTGCACAAAAATGGAGGCTGCAAAACGGAAGGAAAGGGAGTTTTCAATTGGGATAGCACAGTAAAGACTCAACAACACACTAGGATTTTACCCAGGGAATGAATGAATTTTGATTTGTGCTATCATCACAAATGTAGGGAACTCCACAGAGTGCCGCTCCCACATTCACAAAACTGGGCAAACAACATGGTGAGGCAACAGGATCCTCCCTCCCTTGGTCCCATATTGACCTCTGCATATTGGATGTAACATATAATTCTGTGGCCCCCAGAAATGGTTGGAGTCAGCTCCCATCAGCTTCTGCCAGCATGGTTACTGGTCAGGGATGGTGGAAATTGCAACATCAGCAACATCTGGAGGACCACAGGCTTCCCATCCCTGGTATGAATGATGCAGAAATGCATAGAATCCTACACAGAATGACCAAGATTCCTGCTCCCACATGCACGGGGCTCTCTCTCTACGCGCACACAAAATTTAGGAAAGAATGCAAGCACATGGAGATACGGGTGCATGATTTCACAGCCCCTCTGAGTGTGGAGGTTATCTTGTTTTGCAAGGTGATTCTGAAAGTATGTATGCATATATATTAGAGACTTCCTTAGAAAGAATGGACACTTGCACCATTAACACAACTGAAGCTAAATTACATGCATTATTATATTATTGTGAGCAGCAGCCTGCTTCTCTGACCCTCAGCTTCAAGTCATAGCAGAAGGTTGTACAATGCTGACTAGTGTTAAAATCCTACTTTTATTTTTAAAAGAATTTCGTTTTGGAAAAGAGACTTTAAGTCTGTATTCTGGAATTTAAAACATATTTCTAACTTGCTTTCAGTCTGGTGTTTCATTTTTACATTTTCCTCCAAAAATCTAGACATGCTTCCATATTCTACATCCTTTGCTGAAGAAGAAACTGGTTCTTGTGCAAGCTCTCAGTTATAAAGATCTAAAGCATCTGCATGGAAACAATTAAATTTCTGTAAAATATGTGCCAGGCTTCTTTACTAAAGTTATCCCAGTGTAAATTTTCTATGTTTAAAAAATATATCCTAAAAGTTTAAAGTAGGAATTCAATGTAGTGCTAAGCATATAGCTTTGCCATTGCAAGCATTTCTGCACACTATTCTGGGGGTTCTCCTGCCCCCCGAGCAAATTTGGGGGAGTGCAGGGGGAGGGGGGAAGTCCTGTTGCATTAGTGGAAGTCCTTGTGTGGACTTTTGTTGACGGGACTCGCTAGCTAAAATCCCACTCGTGATTTAGGTTCATACAGACTAGCAAAGTTATTTGAAAAGTGCTGCAAGTACAACAGAAGACAGAATACGACATGCTTGTCATTACCTTGAAGGCGATAGAATTTGTAAGTCAGTGGGGGAGGACAGAAACAGGAAATGAAGACTGACCTTATAAACAAAGATATGTTTAGGGCTTCTGGTTTCAGGAATAAACCGATATTTACTGGTAAACGTCTGCCAAAAAAACAAAAATAGAAACATAAGATTACTGGTAAATATTGGTTTATGTGGAGTAGAAAAATTGTTCATATTCTTATTCTTTAAAACTGCTAGAGAGATGAGAGGCTCTGATGAAGGTTACCATGCCTGAATTCTTTTGGGAAAGTACCGGTAATTGCCTCAAACCAGAAGCCATCTGCTCATAGTGGGACTCTGCACACCTAAATTTTCCAGACATCTTCAAGAGAACTTAACCATTCTGAATAATGCTTGAGACAGAGACAATTCTTTCTGTCCCAATTCCAGAATGTCCAGTTATGATTTTGAAAATTCACTTTTATTATGATATACAAGAAATAAATATGAAACTTAATAAAGAAGTAATGTTTTTCTTTAAAGAAGCCTAATTCTGTTCATGTTATATACATAAAATGTATATACATACAACTCATAATTCAGTTGAATACAAATTAGTTTTATTTGCAGATTATATTATTTCGTTTATTTCAGAACCTCAGACTAGTATTCCCATCTTGATGTTTTTGGTAAAATATCTGGTTATTCTGTTAATTGGTCCAAACTGGAACTGATGCCAATAGGTCAAAAATCTGATTACACATTCATTCAAGGTATATCAATGGATTAGTTCCAAGTCTATTAAATATCTAGTTATGTTAATACCAAAAGATATACAATGGTTAGTCACAGTTAATAGAAATAAATTAATAAAAAAGGTTTCTTCAGATATTGATAGGTGGGAGTGGCTGAACCCTACCCTTTGGGGAAAGGTGAATGTTCTCAAAATGAATATTACTGCCAGATTTATTTATATTCAGAGAGGACTTCCAGTTTTTATATCTGGATCATACCTTCAAAAGATAAAACTCGCTGTTTAGGAAACGTCTTTGAGGCTCAACAACCCCGAGAACATTCTTGCAGAGAATGCAGTTATAAATTCTGAATTTGGAATTATATCATTATGCTTATTTACCATCAAATATTAAATATTGGAAACCTACTGTTGGGTTTTAATTTTCTGACATAGGCAACCCTAGAATATACACAGACAGCACCTTTGGTTGGTTGGACAATACTAGGATCAAAATATTTGAAATATCAGCTGACTCCAGCAACAACTAAGTCAGTTAGAAGGATATAAAATATATGGGGGGGGGGGAATATTGATCCATTCTCACATGCCAAACTTACTTTGTGGGGAAACCCTATTCTAAAAATTGCAAAAAATACGGCAACATTGAAAAATTGGATGGAAGCAGGTGTATTGACTTTGGACCAACTGATAGATGACGAAGATTAATTTTATACCTATGCTATTTTAAGACAAAAATATCATCTATCAGATGCAGCCCAATGGCAATATATTCCATTACAACATCTCTTAACAAGGGTGTTTGGGCTGGCAGCCCTCTCTGCTTCCGAGATACCTGAAATACTGGAGCAATTGGATGGCTCATTCAAAACTAGAAAGCCAATGATTACTTTTTAGAAATATGTATTGGCAATAAATAAGTTCCAATATGCAGACTTTAAGAAATGATTGGAATAAAGCATTGAAACTTCCAATACTACCCAGACAGTGGGAAAGTGTTTGTATGTTTGTACAGTGTTCTGTACTTACTAAGTTTTGGGAGAAAGTACTGGAGTGTGTAACTATGATTGTGCAGAAAAGGTTAAAACTTTCAGAGAACATTATTTTGAACTATAAGCCTATGGTATGGAAATTAACAATGGGACAACGAAAATGGACTCTACGCACCCTAATTGTGGCCAAGAGATTGATACAGATGAATTGGAAGAATCAAGTTACGATACCCTTTAATCAATGGATTGACAATATGACAACACTCACAACTTATGAACTGCTTACAGAAATAGGCTTTGCTTGGATAAATATGACAACATTTGGAATGAGTTTATACAGAATGTAGTAGGCTATTAATAGCAATATATGTATTAGAATAATAACACTATATCACTTCATATAAGAATGTATGGCAGAATATTACACTGAATTTGTGTGTGTGTGTGTGTGTGTGTATATTACACATCTTTGTTCTTTTTTTCTCACTTCCCCCCTTCCCCCCTCCATATCACTTAATTTATTTATAATTGAAATTATTTCAATAAAATATTATTACAAATAATAACAAGAAGACCTCTATCTAGAAGCATTGTAGGGATTCATCCGTCTCTCACCTGGGAAGCTATTGTGCCCCTGAAAACTGAGCTCTCCCTAAGAGATGACGGCTCCTTCCAGCCCATAAATAGTTTGTTAAAGAACCTCCCGAACCATATGAAGGCCAGTCTCCAACATTCTACCACACTCTAGTGGCCAAGAAATACAACACAGAATAGGACCGCTGTTCACAGGAGGAGGCTGGATTCTCAGTAACTGGGGATGCGAGAAGGTGTGAGTCCCTTTACTTGGTTCCATATAAGTTAATGGTAGTTGTTACTTTTACCTCGCAGGAGGAAAGTGCTGCAATTGGAAAGATTGCTGCAGGGAGAGGAAAACCCGTCCCGACTCCTACAGAGTGAGATGGTGGGAAGATGTGCTTTCATGTACAGAATGCAAAATTGATGCTGTGCACCTTCTCAGAGGTCCGTGCAAAATACAAGCCACATGCATCCCAAAACACTGGACATTTTTTTCCAAATGTTGGTGAAACCCTAAGATTCTATGATTCTATAAAAACTAATAATCTTAATTATTGTTTTTTAAATTTAGCCTCCCCCCCCCAAAAAAATATCTGAGCCCCTATACAGTAGTTTAATTCAATTGTGCATAAATTCAGGTCTCAACCCCAAATTAGTCATTGCTCCAGGCAATGTGATGGGTGATTGGAAAACTGTGGTGGGGGTTCCAAACCACCCCGTTACCTTGGCCAGACCACCTCCTGGTGAACTTTTGGTATCCCTCCCTGCATGGCTAAAAGACCTAATCACATAGTTTGTTCCTGAAAATGTATGGCATCTGAGAATTCCTGAATGCTATGAAGCAGGATTAGCCTCCCCATGTTGCTTGACTACAGCCTGCTAGTTGGGCTCATGGGAGTTGTAGTTATGTTCTAGGGGACTTTTCCTGTACAGTGGTACCTCAGGTTACAGACGCTTCAGGTTACAGACTCCGCTAACCCAGAAATATTACCTCGGGTGAAGAACTTTGCTTTAGGATGAGAACAGAAATTGTGCAGCAGCAGCAGCACGGCGGCAGCTGGAGGCCCCATTAGCTAAAGTGGTGCTTCAGGTTAAGAACAGTTTGAGGTTAAGAACAGACCTCCAGAACGAATTAAGTACTTAACCTGACGTACTACTGTAGACAGAGCTGGTGATCCTGTCAATGACCTACTACCCCCCTGAAATGAGGATTTGTGAATGAGCTATTGACATGGTCGCTTCTGAGCAGCCTCCCTGGTATTCTGGGGAACTTCACAAATTAAAATGATCCAGAAGATGGCTAGAGAGGAAATGGCACAAGACATGAATGATCTGAAGTTGATCAAACTGGAGTGAGAGCACATAGTTGCACCTATTGCATGGCAGCAAGGAAAGCAAATTCGGCTTATTTTGCTTCCACTACATCCCCATGTAGTCATCCAGTTGAGCTTTGCAGAGCAGCCGGGGGGCTATTACCTGCCCCTATGGATGGAGCAATAAAGTCCTTTGTAACCTGCTGAGAATTATTTCTAAGGCACTTGAAGAAAGTTGCTTGCATCTGTAGCACCCTTGATGCTTCTCTTATTTTAGTTGTTGAGATGTGTAATGCGCCAACTGAGCAAGTGTTGTGGGATCAGTTTCTGTTACAGCAGCCTGGTGACAATGTGTCCAGCAACTTAACCTCGCAACTCTTGCCCATCTTGCTTAAGTGGAGCTACCTTATAGGTTCAGGGTGTGCTAATGTGCTGTTAAATGAGGGACTGGTGCCTACCGCCCTGAAGAACGCAGTAGCATGGCCACTTCAAAGAAGCAGATCCACTCAACCCTGGATCCAAAAGTATATGACTTCTGTCTGATCACAAATATCCCCATCCTGTGGAAATTGCTTGAGAAGGTAGTGGTGGATCAACAACAGGCACTTTTGGAGGCAACTGATTATCTTGACCCTTGCCAATCTGGTTCCAACCTAGCTTTGGCATCAAATCAGTCCTGGTCACCCAGCTGGATCACATTTATTGAGAAATGGTCTGGGGGAGTGTGACTCTGCTACACTTGATCTCCTAGCAGCTTTTCATATTATCAACCATGGTATCTGCCTGGATCAGAGGCACTCTTTTTCAGTGGTTCCACTCCTATTCGCAGGACCAGTTCTGAAGAGCAGCACTGGGCGACTAGTTGTTAGTCCCCATATATAACATCTATATGAAGCCTCATGGCATGGTCATTAGGAGATTTAGAGCATCAAATCTTTCAGTATGTTGGAAACACTCTGTTCTAGTACTCTATAGCATCTGAATCAGGAGTGGGCATGCAATTCCTGAGCCAGTATCTGGATGAAGTGGTAGGCTGGGAGAGGGTCAAAAGAATGAGATTAAATCCCGGCAAGATGGAGGAATTGTGTGTAAGTTGCTCCTGGATCCAGGAAATTGCCTATTTGCCTGTTCAGGATAGGGTCACAAACTTTTTGAAGGAGCAGCCTTGCAGTTGATTCATCTTTGCCACTAGAGACTCATGTAGCTTCAGTAGCTGAAAGTATCTTCTACCAGGTTTGGCTGGTATACCAGCTATGACCATTGCTCAACAGGGATAATCTGGCCATGGTGGTCCATACGCTGGTAAACTTGAGATGTGATTACTGGAATGCACTCTATTTGAGACTGCCCTTGAGGATGGGCTGGAAGCTCCAGTTAGCCAAAATCCTGCTGAGAGGTTACCATCATCAGCACATTACACCTTTCTTAAGCATCTGCACTGTCTGCCTATATAAGAATAACAATATTATTATTTATACCCCACCCATCTGGCTATTGTATGGGGCCACAATAAGTTGGAAGGCAGTCTCTGAAATAACAAGAATGTTTGAAAACTATCTATTCATGACTAAAACAGGGAACTATAAGCTTCATCACACAAACTATCACACAGCATTGTAACATAAAGAGCAGTATTACAAAGTCAAAAGCTTAAGTGCCATGCAGATAAGATACAAGACTTTACAACACACTTAGTAGCTGCCATGGACTGGCTGGATGCAAAGGAGTGGTAGGAGGCATCAGTTGGGGAACCCCCTGGAGAACCAAGCCTAGGAAATTAGTGGTGGGGTGACAATGAGTGTTCACAGGGAGAAGCAGCAGACTGGAAGGAGGCATCATCTGCAGAAGAGGCAGCAGGCTTTAGTGAACAGGAAGAGGCTACGGCAGAGAGCAGTTTGCACTTTGAGGCTGAAGCAGAAGCCGGAGGGGAGGGTGGTCAAGAGGCAAAGTTGAGACAGGCTGCTGAAGAATCCAGGGAGTCCCCCCCTCCTGCTGCAACCAGCTCCCCTCCTCCCTTGTCTCCTAGAACTCACCTAGAACTCAACAAAATGGGCAGAGCAGAGGGTGGTTGCGCACAGAAACCACCTGAGACAGTGTGGGAAAGACCCAGAAGAGGAGGAGTCCTACTGAGCACTGGGAAGGCTCACCTTCCGCCCTCACAACGGCTTCATCAGGGCAAGACTTCCTGGAAAGAGTTTCTGAGAATGCTAGGCCCGAGCTGTGCTTCTTTCCTCGAATAATGAGTTAACTTCACTGGCAAGTTATTGCTTTGTTGAAGATCTACAGCCCTGACAGTAGTTGGCAAGACATGGATAATTGTCTTCCTTAGAGAAACACTACAGCAAACCTAATTTGCATGGACTACAGCACACTCATCTAAGTTAGGAGGGAGGGAGGGAAGGGGGGAGAAAGAGAGAGAGAGAGCGCGCGCAAACAATCTCCCAGATCCTGTCCAGCCACAATGAACCCTGCTGCTGCTGTCTTCCAGTGTTTCACTACTTCCATATGGGCAGCCGCTTGCAGCACAGGCACCAGAGCCTTATGTACTATTAAATAAATTCTGCACTCTCTAGTGACAGAAGAGCCGGCATCAGATCAGAGATTATATTTCTGAGATTCTACTCCAAATCTATATGATATCCTGAACTCAAAATAGACCCCTGACTTCCCATCCTCTATAATGCATATCTTTATCCCTATTCCAGAATGCAGGATGAAGTAGGAAAATGATAATAGGGGATGGCTGGGTGGGGGGCAGAAACCCGGCCCAGTGCTTCCAAACCTTTAGTATACATTCAGGAATGGGTTCCCCATGCTGCACAAAGCAAATCAGGAAAGGGTAAGGGTACCCATGGGACAACCTTTGACCCTCTAAAAATGTGAACTATTTGCTTCAATTGTTGTAACCAATTAATTTTGCCAACACTAAACCTCCTTTGTCACAGGCACCTTTGCTGATTTGGCTAAACTTCAGTCAACAAGGCAAACAATAGGGGTGACAGCGGGTACCCCTGCTTAGTGCCCTATGGGGATTTACACCAGGGAAGACAGGCCCATTCATTCGAATTGTTGCTGTTGTGACTGAATAGAGCTGTTGGATTGAACAGATACATTTATCGCCAAACCCCCTTGTCCATTCAATACGATCTAATACCTTAATGATATCCACTGAGAACAGTACTGCTGGGATTCTGTATAACCACATTCAGCACCATTCTGATGGAGTCTGCTATATTCTACCTAGGGATAAAACAAGTTTCATCAGGGGAAATATAGTCACTGATGAAAACATTCAGTTTGAGGACCATCACTGCTGATAGCAATTTGTCATCTTGGTTTATCAGTGCTATGGGATGGTAAAAGGCCACAAGGGCCACTGACTAGGCTTCAAGAGAACCACAATTTTAGATTGCTTACCCATGTCTGGTATGGTAGCCCACTCAAGAATCTTACTGAGCAGCTTGGTCAGCCATGAGGTCAGCTCAGCTCAGAAGGTCTCATAGAAGCCCACCACTGAAACCATTCAAACCCGGGCAATTTCTGTTCTTTCATCATTTTACACCTTCATTGACTTCCATTTCTGTTATAGGCTGGTTCAAGAACTTTCTCTGCTCACCTGACAGAACTCTGAGGTGTACCCTCAACAAATAAGCATTTATGGATTTATGCATCTATGCATTTATGCACCTAAGCATTGTCCAAGGAGTAGAGGGCAGCATAGAATTTGATACCTCCTCTGTCTTAGCTTCACAACACACTTTTCCCTAACGTCTGTTACTAAGCTTCTGGGCTTTTTCTTCTTTAAGGCATGAGCCAGCAGTTTGAAGCATCTGTCTCCAAACTCTATTTACTTTACTTTTTGTTTTCATACTGCAAAAGCCATCACCCATTGTGCTTATTGTCTCATGACTTGAGGAGAGTTGGCATGAAGCTGCCATTAAGCTTGTGTGCAGGCCCTGCCCCCAACCCAAGTAATCATTTCCTAAGATTTGCCCCCAAAGGCAGAGCTCCTGGATGCTGTTGGCAGGAGACTGAAGCTGGCTGGTAATGGCACATTTCCAAAAAGGAGAACCAAAAGTTATTCTGCCTGGTCCTGATAAATGCCTACACCGTGAGCTACACTATGGTTCAAACTGCTATGTTAAAAACATAAACCTTACCTCTGCCATACTGACTGTGGGACTACATCACAACTTCTGCAACCCAGGGTATTATACAGACATTGCCAAGATGTTTCTGCAGCACCAGAGTCAGACGGTTATAATATATAAAAACCTTAGCCTTCTTTCTATTGCGTGCCAAAAACAAGTCGTGGCAATGCCAGCATTTGGGATCAGAGTGTCAGAAAGTTAATTAACCTTAAACTACAAAAGTTATCCCCTCACACCAGAGATCTATGGGCACAATACAAGTCCCCACTTCCACAGTCCCGTTCTCAGTTCATAACTGTGTCTGGAGTACTCTGGGTTCTGCCTCAGTGCAAGGATTTGAGTATCACCTGATTTAGCTCTGTAATGCCAGCTGGTAGTTTCATGACACTAATCTTGGTTAAAAAAGAAAACAACACCAAACATATACACTAGTAATCTGACAAGTGCACCATGCTCATTCTTTTTTGCATACTGACTTAAACAGTTGTTTCTTGTGCACAATGCCATGAGTAGTAAATTAGCCCCACTCAAAAGCAAGCTGTTTCAAAATTGGTCAAAACAGCCTTGATATTTCCCTACTATAGAAACTACACAGCCTACCATGTAACCAAGAATATCAACACAATTGATGGACATCCTGATTTGTCACCAGAAATTAGAATAAATGTCGTCTCATTTCCAAATTGATCCAACTGAAAGGAAGTCAGAGGAATCCATATGATCTTAGCACTAATGGAAGGCCAAGAAGGTGCTGGCAGCTTCTTTCCCTACTATATACATGGATGTCTAAAAAGGCCTGCTCTGAACCACATCCTTCAAAGGCCATGTCTATGGTGAAGTTTTATTTCCTCGGAAATAATGGCTTATCTTTGAACTACTTGTTAGCATCTTCATAGCATTTATAGTGGAATTTGCATGTATCTTATTGATTGCTTTTAAAAGTAATGCAAGCCGCCATCCCAAACATTTTCTTTTCTTTTCAAGGAAGCTCACCAGCTTCCCATTAAAGCACATTTTCCCTTCTCTGACCATTTTCTCTTCTAGATTCTCTTCTTTTGCCAGCCTCACAAGTTAAAGTAATGAATATACGGTACTTGGACAGGAAAAGTCTGCCTTTTAAGTTCTGATTCCATATACCTCCAGATACAAGATGATGGACACTTACAGAAACATTAGTAGTATGGGTAACCCCCCATTTATGGGCGTTATGTTCCGAGGCACCACGCATATATGTGAAACTGTGTATATTTGAAACACCATTGGCAAAGCCTGAAGAAACCTCTAAACCTCTGGAAATCCTTGAAAACACCTTAAAAAACCAGCAGCACTTACCAGACGTTAAATTCCGTCAAACTCCACCACAACTGCTCCCTCCAAACCTCCTTGCTCAAACTCCAACTCTGCACAGGTCTCAACAGTTGGTGCAAGGGCTTGTGGGATTGATAGGTACAGTTTTCACACCTTTCTGACCTTTCTGGACTCTTTTAGGAGCATTTTTTGCCATTTGGCACAATGCACGTATGCGCAGCCACACACATACTGAATGTGCATAAACAGGGAGGGGGGCTGCATTCTTGCTGTTCATCTAAACTTCCATGCAAAATTGGACTTTTGAACTGGCACAATAACTTCCTCCTCTTAAATACCTGGGGTCTAGTATTCAAAAATTTCACTGCTTCTTAGCACCATTAATAGGAAAAATAGGAAGTTATTTTCATAAAGCTCAGTGGGGTGGGGTGGGGCTTACTTCCAAAAAACATAGTTAGGATGAGACTATAAAAATTATATTATCAGTGAAACACACCTATGAATAATTGTTTCATTCAAAACCTGACATTTAAGAAATATATGTTTTGGAACCTTGTAATTCACCAAACCACAGAAGAGGAACCTGCTGCAATATTCTTGAAATTTTTTACATAATCTAAGATTCCAAAAGGAGGGAAATTTAAACCATGTTTTTAGGTGGGCATAGAAATGGTCAGAAAAATATGGGATTCCTGAACCTCAAAGCATTTAAAAACCAAGCAAAAAACTGCTCTTACTCCACCATTCTTGACTAATTTTTTCTCAAAGAGGTAGCTACTCCTTGATTTTGTACTGATATACAAATTTTCTCAATTCTTTAAAGAACAGAATTTTCATACTTTGTATTGCTAAAGCTCATCAATCTAAGCACTATATAATATCATCAGAAATTGTATAACAGCAAAAGCAAACCAAGACTTTGCCCAGAGTCTTGCAGTCTGCAGACGTGATATGCTAAGTAACACACACAAACTGAAATATCCAACTACAGTGGTACCTCGGGTTATATACGCTTCAGGTTACAGACTCCGCTAACCCAGAAATAGTGCTTCAGGTTAAGAACTTTGCTTCAGGATAAGAACAGAAATCTTGCTCTGGCGGCGCAGCGGCAGCAGGAGGCCCCATTAGCTAAAGTGGTGCTTCAGGTTAAGAACAGTTTTAGGTTAAGAACGGACCCCCGGAATGAATTAAGTACTTAACCCAAGGTACCACTGTATTCTACAAGTTACTATGCAATTCAGTTTGAAGCTTTTATGACCAGAGATTGTAGGACTTTTGCAGTTAGTAAACTTGGAAAGATCGCCCCTAAAGCAGCAACTGACAAAAACACAAAACTCATTTTAAGAAGAGTTGCATAAATCTATCAAGCCTAGGCTAAACTAACATATTAATACCTACTGACAAAAATATTTAGGGTCTGTGCCCCTGCTCTCTCTGCATGGCCATTCCCCCCTAAACCTCTAAAAGCTTTCCCCTCCCACGCCATGCAACTAAGTTCACTTTTGCCTTCCCAAGCCCATTTCTGAAAGCACTTCTCTTGTTCCGCAGTCCTACTATGCACCTGTTTTCAGCTTCACCTCTACACTGCCCCTCCTTTTGTGTAACCCCTCCCCCCCTGCACACAAACCACCCTCAAGGCCACCTCCTGCATCTTCCTCCTCTCACACATGGCAACTATGCAGTACCCTTTGCACATTCTACCCAACTATGAAGCTGCCAACCCCTCCTATTCCCCAGACCCTTTCATCTCCCTGCTCTCTTCTTCAACCCCATTCCATTTTTACCTTCACTCCCTTTTTTCTTCCACCCTCCTTACTTTTCTCAACTCTCCCTTGCACACAAAGAACACCCATTTCCATCTACTGTGTCGCAGATAGCTCAGTTCTGCTCCCCCTAACATTGATCCTGCCCCCAACGTTAGTCCGACATGCCGCCACCTCTCCAGTTGTGCTCTTCTGCTCCCTTTGCACATACAAAACACTTTCACCCTTCTCCTTTTTTCAGTTCTCTCTTGCACACAGAGCTTTCTCCCTTTCAGGCCTCCTCCTCTCTCCCAATTCTGCAGCTTCCTTTGCCTGCACACCTCATGCTGATAAATGATCCTGTAAGATGAATAGAATCCTAAGAGCAAGGCTGTCAGTTAGCTTATTCAGTTAGAGCATGTTAAGTTCGGCTGATGGATGTTGTACATACAGGCGACTCCCCACTCACACTTGTTCTACTTGTGCTCAACTGCACATATGTGTGGTGCCAGGAAATGATTAGATAATTCAATTCAAAACCAGTAATGGCAGGAGAGAGCTGGAGAGTCCTCATGGCTTGCAAGGAGACCCAAAGAGAGCGTCAGTGGGGACGGAGGACACACTGAAGAGACTGGAGGTGCAGGCAGGGCTTTGGCGGGGGAGCAAAGCCTCCTTTGTTTTCCCACCATCCTCTAGCGTCCTGCCGGCCCCAGAGCTTCAATTCTAGTTGTCAATATTTTTGGATACAGTATTTTTGGTTGGATTGGAGAGCGGCAGAGAGGGGGTTTAGAGAGTGCTCCCTGCTTTACACAATTTCACTTATCTGTGCAGGAGCCCAGAACATAACCCCTGTGTAAGCGAGGAGTCGCCTGCATATGTGTCTGCTTGCTAATAAAATATCTTCTAAAGTACTACATAGAATCTGGTACTTCATCCTGAAGACAGCACAGTGTACCAGGAGGTGAAATGCAATGATGAGAAGGTACCATGGAATGTTTGAGGGCTCCACATCCATTCTCTCTCTCACATGAGACAGTTGAGGACTGGAGAAGGGAGAATTTTAAAACAGCCATTGTTTTCTTTCTCCCTGTACTCAAAGAACAGGCACAAGTTTGAGTAAAGCAGGGGAGGAGGGAGACTGAGGGGTTGTTGCTGTTTTAAATAAAAAGTTTAACAAGGAGAAACAGTAGAGATAGGTACAACACAGGCGCTAACACCAAAAGTTATCATAACAGAGCCTTTCCAAACTCCTTTCTCACTGTACTCAGACCTCACCAGTATCGCCCCTGCCAAGCCCTGGCGTTGTTTACATTGGCTGCCCCCCCCTTAGTTTTCCCTCCAATGATGCAGAGCCCTCAGATATTGCATCGCATGAAAGGTGCTTCACACAAGCTTCTGCCACTGTTTCCTCCATCCCTGCTTTACTCATACTTTCCCCTTGTCAGTGTCTCTCCATTCTTACTCCCAAGCCATGGCCACTGGTGTCGTGCAACATGCCTTCCCTTTTGCTCCTCTCCCCTGACTTCCTTCAAATCCAGGACTGTGACGTGGTACTACAATGAGGGCCATACAATGGCAGCCTTACATTTTTATGTATATAGGAAGAAACATAATTTGATTTGCATTCAGCACACTATTTTAGAATGGACGACGTTTGTCAAACTAAGGCAAATCCTTGAGTAAGTTCACCGGTATAAATATCCTCTGCATTCAGTATCTCTAGTGTCCAGTAAATACAAGAAGCTCCAAGAAGCTCAAGCCACCTCTATGGGGAAATCAATGTTTGTTTGCCTGACTTACAAATCCACAAAGTGGATTTTGGGGTGAAAATTGGGCAGAGTTATTGGTTTCTTAAGGAGCCTAGAACTATGAAAACTATGAATATCCTCATGACCTAAGCCTAAAAATATGAACGTTTGAAATTCAAGATAGCCAAATTACAACCCAATCTACAACCCAGGTTAGGTTGACTATTTTTCTTGAAACCACATTTGTTCCAAATCATTACAGTAGTTACAATAAGACTAAATCAGCTTTAGTTATATAGCAGTTATTGATAAAGGCCCACCATAGTCTAAGCAAGGCCATTGATCCATCTGAACTCTATATAGTTCAGTTAACAGGGATACACATAAAATTATACTTTCACTTTTCACTTCTGCTGTTTCCAAGTCTGACAAAAGAGTGTTTTGCATATATGCTTTCAGTTACTTTAGATCCTCCCCCAAGAAGCTAATTATTCATATTCAAGTTAAATATGGTACCAACACACAAGCTCTCAGAAACAAATGCCATTAAGGATGTTTGTTACAAAAACCCCTTTGGGTTGTTAGAAAAATTGCAACTTTTCATCTACTTAAACAAAATTATAAATGCCATTGTTATAAAGTTTACCTCTCAAAGGAGGTTGTTTTGTGGGAGGAACTTAATGGAAAAAACGTGTGCTGCTAGAGTGAACTTTAAACAGCAACTTCTAATGAAAAATAAATATATACTAACCTAATAAAGCAACATTTCAACAGCAAAACTATTTATTTAAAGCATTTATATGCTGCTTTTCTAGCATTCAAAGTGATATATAAGCAAACTTTATCTTTAAAAGAAGTTAAACAGAGCAGCTGGTTGTTTTTTTTAATTAGTCAGCAAAGAAACTCAGTCAGTTTTGCCAAATAAAAACTGAAACAAAGTTCCAACTTTTTCTGAAAGGCTAAACACCCTCTAGAGCAGGGGAAGTCAACCTTTTTATACCTACCGCCCACTAATGCATCTTTCTTGATGGTAAAATTTCCTTACCGCCCACCAGTGCTCAATGGAAGGAGGATTCCGCTTGTGCCGTAGAACCCCCTACTGCCCACCTAGAATCCTGAAACGCCCACTAGTGGGCGGTAGGGACCAGGTTGACAACCCCTGATCTAGAAGATCTAAACATGGGCAAGTGTAGCAAAGAGCCTGACATTGCACAGGGCAGAGACTGGTTTCCCGAGCAAAGACAGTGTGATGGTCTCTCTATAGGCCAAGGAAGTCTGAAGATACCTGGGTTGCCGGATGAGAAGGCCTATGAAAAATAAAGCACCAGCACTTTTCTGTGGGTCTGGAAGCAACCATAATCAGTACAATTGTCGCAGGACTAGTATAACATGTACCCATCTTCCAAACATTCACCAAGGGATAAACAACAGCACTTTGCACAAGCTGCAGCTTCCATGCCATCGTCAAGGGCAACTCCACATTCAATGTGTTTAAAATTAGCATCAAAGCTAACCACTACAGTTGTCACATGTGGAGAAATGGAAAGCCGTATGAGATATGGCATATGTGGTACACTTTACCAAAATATTTGATCCTACCTATATTTTGATAACAGAAGATACACTGGGAAGAAGCAAACTGGGAAGGGACACACATTTCTGTGACCACTACTCAAGACACACTTAAACTCCTTTGGACTTGTTTTCACAATGTAAAATAAAGGGGGAGATTCAACTAAGTTTAACTCAAGAGTAGACCCACTGAAATTAGTGGGCCTGCCATAGACATGTTCATGAATTACAATGGGTCTATCCTGAGCAAAACTTTGCTAAATACTACCCAAGGAACATAGTTACACCAAAAAGCCTCAATGTTTTGCAAAACTAACAGGGCAGTTTATTGAGTCAAAAACAGAACAAAATGCATTCATCTTCAAAAACTGAAATGAACAGATTCTGTTACCAGTAGTCAGGTAATCTACATATGGTTTAGCACTGCACTACTGAAAGATGTGGTGCCCTAAAGGGCAAGAATCAGCCCCCCCCCCTTTGCAGCAAATATTAGTTTTAGACTTTGCAAAATGGGATAAAGCTTTGTATTGTACAAGAGCGCATACTGAAAAATACTAGAAACTTTATGAACAACACTGGATTCTTGGGGGGCCATTTTAAAAACTCTTCAAAGGGTTTGCAAGATACCCCCATACATCTGCAGTTATTTTTAAAGGAATTATTCAGAGGTCACCTTTATACTGCCTCTTCAATGCTTTAGAGTAATGACCAGGTAGAGATGCTAACATTAAAACAAGCTTTAAAATTTGTAGAAGACAAATTCTTTTTTAAGAGGCCAAGGTTGCAGGCACCTAAAATGACTGATGAACTTTGTAAAAGCAAGAAGGTAGAATTTGTAATATACAAAGCTTGCAGTCCTTTCAATGAAGCTCATGGCAAAGATCAGGATCTAAACCACATAACTAGGTCTAAATGGCTACAGGAATGCTCAACTTTATTGAACAGCAGCTCTCTGTGCTACATGGTGAGCATCTTTAGAAACAGGCATGAGTTTCAGAGTAATTTGTGCCTTGGAATATGTCTCAGGGTCTGCAGTTCACAGGGAAGAAAAGCCAAAGTCCCCATTGCCCAACATCTGGGCAGACCTCTAAAGCAATAGCCCTCTGGATTCGCCAATCAAATTGTTTTAAGTTTGAAATCAAGGTATGCATGGGCCAAGCACATTCTATTACTCATATGAAGAATATTTTACACATTGTATATATCAATGCCAGAATTTTTCACTTTCAGCCTTCATAATTTTAAGCTGGTTAGACATGAATCGCTCCTCTGAACACAATGCCTGTTGCTAAGTAATTCACAACATGAAAATCAACACTTTGACAAGTGTTGTCTTTGATCAATAATTCTTAAGTGATGGTTAAATCTTGATTAAAAACAAATAAATAAACAAATCCGTGTTTAACACTGCAATCCTATGTGTGCTTACTTGGAAACAAGCCCCACTGTGTTCAGCGGGCCTTACTCCTAGGCAAGTGTGCACAGAATAACAGCCTAGAAAAAGCTTTGAAGAAAAAAATGGTCAGCAATAAAATTCAATAAAAAATGGACTCCAATTCATTGCTACTTCCCCAATTCAGGAAGGCCTCTATAGCACAGAGAAAAGGTTTGGAGAATCAGGAATGTGCTCACCTGTTCCTCATCTTACCACATATCGATTCCTTTCTCTGTTTCCAGGTTTCTTCTAGCCAGAGTTTGCTAGCGCATCTAAACCAGGCTATGGTTTATGACAACCTTCAAACAAGGCTTCTAAGCAGGCATACAACCCGCACTATGAACATAATTATTTAGCCTTTTGAATAAGATTACATAGAATCTCTAACTAAAGGAAACCTGGAAATGGAGAAACTGGCACATAATAGGTTAGGAGCACATGGGACACATATTCCCAATGCTTCAAACAACTGTTTGGATGTCTGGAATGGATGTCACAAACAGGCCACAAAGCAACTTGGACATTAAAAGCATTTCAATATGTACAGTTAATATTTCTCATTTATCTCCTGTTCTGTCATTTCAATGGCTGCAGTTTCTCAGGGCACATATAAAACCTTGGGCATTAGTACACGCAATAAATGAAAAGTGAGTACAAGCAAAACAGATCCATTGCCTTTTTATTATTATTACAAATGTACTGACCAGTTGGCTTCAAAAAGATCTACCTATTTAGGCATGCCAGTACAAAGTAAAAAACTATTTTACAAATTAAATAAAAACTGCTAAAAATAGTATTTTAATGGGAAACAATTATAAAATACTGCGAGCCCATTGTGGGTATTCCCACCATTGTTTGAATTATTTATTATTTCCAACCTATCAGAAGTCAGGGTGTATATTTTTCCATGCAGAATAGGTAGGATTTGTTAGTGCCTTTTTAACAAAATGTAGATAGCAAACTAACAGCCATAATAATATATACATTCAGTAGTGCATATATATATTATATACTTTTAGTCTCTCTCTCTGTGTGTGAGTGCGTATTGTACACTATTAGTGAATATATATAGTAGTGGATACAAATCCCATTTGTTTGTTAGCCAACTACAGTATACAACAGAATGCACAGCTTAAAAGGGACATGGTTGATCAAAGATGTGGTTTCAGTGCTGTTTTGAAAGCCAAATATGTAATTGTTTTCAAAAGAAGTTATTGGCATATGACAGGCACTTCTAACCTTTCTTTGCTGCTTGATATGGTAGTTCTTTGTACAGTAAACAGATCTATTACATTTTACAAAGTTCTGAGAAGGTGGTTCTGTTTTGTAGTACTTCTCAAAGAGACCTACATAGCGCAAGCTGCAACTCCTGCAAGAATACTTTAAAAAGTGACACTGTCAAGTATTTTTCAGTTAAATGTTTACATTTTCACAAGTTTCCCACCACCAGTATGCAAGGCTTGCCTTTGAACTTGAAAATATTCTTACCTCAACCCTCAATCATTTGTTTAGTAAATGCTGGATTCCCTGCTCATTTCTTCTGGTAGTCAAATTCTATAATGTCTTCCCTATTCAATTATTTTATTTTTATTACTTTAGCTCCCCCTCTGGCTGAAAACTGCATTTTACAGCATAAAACAATAAAGAGGCATGAATCAACAGTGTCTAATTTTTAATGTGTTTATTTAATTTCTCAGACAGAGCAATTAAAAAAAAAACATGTGGACTCAAAGTAAGGACATTATTTGCCATGCTGTAATCACCTGAAAGGGAGGTCATGTTTTAAATGTTAAGTTACTTGACAGTGTCGCTTTAGCTTAGAAAGGAAAACAAAAACAGACTATGTTTGTATTGCAGTAGATTTCAAGTTTTCTTGCACTTCATATAAAGTAGCATTATGAGCTTGGATCTTTCCTACAAGACACTGAAAACATTAAGGAAAATAAGGCATGTTTTCCAAAGGTGGATTGCTTGGCACATTTGAGCATACTGTTTTTTGGAACACCAAATATGGTCAAATATACCTCTCTCTCTCTTTTTGACCCCCTGACCTTAAGACAAGGTCTTTTCACTGTTGCTCATTGTAAACAGTGAGCTGCACAACCATGGTAAAGAACTGAGCACCTCAACTGGAAAAAGTGAAACCCAAAACCAGGTCATTTATAGTCAACATAACATATTATGACTATGAATCAAGTCAATGCACAGTATCTACAGTGTGCATGTAAATCACAACGTTGAGACTTAGGACGCAGAATGCTGCTGAAACTGTGGTAATTAGCAGACCATACCAGGACAACTGCATAACCCACACATCAGCTTGACCTACTCAGATCAATGGTAAGATTCTCAAATGTGTGGGTCAAGTAGAGTTCCTTTTCATGCATTTTGATTCTCAGAAAAAGGAAATAGGCAAAATGCTGATTCTATTGATTCCAATGACTAAACCAATCTACATGTTGGCTGGAATCAGACAACAGGTTTTCAGAGAGTAAAAAGTGATTTGAGAGAGTCACTGCTTGTAATATGTATGCGCATTCCACTTTGGCCTCTTAATTAAAGAGGTGCTTGTTTTGTTCTATGAACCTGCAAAACTAACCCTTTATCAGAGACAATAGTGGGATAAAATGGAATATAGTTTCATATCATGAGACAAAACACTTTCAGCTCTTCTGAAGACAATTGTTTATGTCCAGCCAAAAACTGAATAAGGATTTTGCTCTTTAACAAAGTTTATATTAATTCAAAGAGAATAAAGACACTTTGCTGTACACCGACCTACACAAGTTATTGCTAAAAAAATAAAAAAATCTGCCAATCTGCAGTATTGCAACTTTTAAAACTATAATGAATAGTAGAACCGAGACAACCAAATAGCAGAATCTAAGCAATTTAAAACTTTCCTAACTACCTGTAGCATGGAGAATGCAATTCTTTCACCATTCAAATGCAGTATTAAACGGCTCAAACTCTCCAATTAAAACAAAGAAGGCTTACCAGTCAATGTTTACATGCAGTCAAAAACCATTTCAGTTATCACATTACGCACCATGGGAGCTTATTTTTGCTATATGGAAAAGTGCACCTTAGAAAGTAATGTAATAAATTCCAGTGATTCTCAAAACAAAAATTTCTAACCACTATAACATTATTGCACATGTGGTGCTCTATGGACACCAGTAGCAAAATTGTTAAACTGGAAATGGATGATACAACGGAAACAGATTTTATATTGACACTTAACAGTGCATCTCCAAAAAGGGAATTATACTTTAATGAAAACAGAAAATACATTTCCTTTGAACAATCTCTTTGTCTTTCCTAGGCCCAACCTCTTACAATCAATGAGAAGCTTAGAAAGTCTCTTTCCTACTGGTAGCATCTTCAACATACAGCAGTTAAATCTAAATTGTTAAATTTGTCAGGGTGTTAAGAAAATGAATACACTCCAGATCTCAAGAATCACACAGATTCTTATATTGTTGACTGTTTCTACAGAATTCCAACTATTTTTCCTACTGTTTTAAGGCATCATTTATAACATATTCTTTTCACTTGCAATGATGATAGTCATGCAGCAGTTTAATGATAAAAATATATTAATATTTTACTATACAGCAGCAAGAAGTTAGTCAATTAAAAGCACACAAACATTTTAAAAGAAAAACCTGTAAAAGTATATTACTACAAACAATTGCAATTTGGAGAACACTACTTGACAGATTAGTGTTCTGACAGACTGTTTTCATACCCTACAGTTCTGATATAATCACACAAAGTACATACTTTTAACTGAAGGGTTGGGGAACTTGCACAGTTGGGGGAGGGGCAGGGTATCCTTACTACATGTATAAAGTATGTAGCCAGTAATAACTAGCACCACAGCTACATTAAAATTTCTTTTACAGCACACCAACTTGGCTTTCACTTTTAAAGGAAATTCAAAATCCATGGCTCAGTAGGATTACTCTATAATCATGTTGCATTGACTTCCATGACAGGCCTATATAAATTAGTTAGCACTAGCACAAAACAGGAGTTTCAATTCAGACTTAAACAAGTTAAAGGGACAGTGCTAGTGGCCACACACAGGAAAAGAAACAAAAAACCTTCACCGCCTGTTATTCAAAAACAGGTTTACTGGAAATTGCTGCACGTGAAGTACTTTAAGTACACATCATAAAAAAAATATATTATGAACAATACAAGTACATCTCATATACACAATAAGGACAATATACCTACTTAGTTGTAAACCAAATAGGTGCAGAAAAATATGGGAGATCATCTCTCTCTCTCTCTTTCTCTTTCTCTTTTTAACTATTTGAATAACTTTGGTTCAAACCATAAAAATCACAAGTTAGCAAATTTCATTTAAATGCCTTTTTAATAATTTTTCTTCATGTTCACAGAAGTTTCACTGACCATTTTATATGTTTAAGGTCCAGATGCAATGCATATTGTATAAAAGAGAGCACTTATTGTTTACCTTGCATGAATTAAACCTACGTACCTTTTAACTCTACAGACTTCTGCATAACATTTAGACAAAGCTCAGACACACAGCATGCCTAGCCCTCATATATATATACACATCTCTAATCACAGGTATATAGGGTGTCAAATATACTATAATAACCTTCATGTAAGGTTTTGAAATTTGGTAACAAAATGAGAAGAAAAACTAAAAATATTATTTTACGTGTTCTAAAATATCTCTTTTTGTGCTAAAGTCAAATGTTAGCTCAACATGAAAAGGACATTTTCTCTTTTTAATATAATTCAGCAATATTTTAATCTTGACCATTTTTGCAAACACTTTTTTTTTAATAATAATAATAATAGCTTAAACGTGTACAAAAGTTCTTGGTTAATTAGGGAAATAAACACTCAGTTCTTTATATTTTTAATCAAGTAGGAAACACAGTTCATCATATATAATGTTATTACTTTTTTTGTAATTTTTTTTTGTTTTTTGTTTTGTTTTTTTTGTTTTTAGCAGCTGCTTACTGTTTTATACGATGGGCAAGAGTGGAAGGAACAATCCAGCGATGGGGTGGAGAGAAAGAAGTTGCTTGCTCGGCTGTCAGTTTTGGTGGTGGGTGGGTGGTCGGTGGTGCTCCCCTTGGAGTTAGAACAACAGGTATATTTAACTGCATGTATTATTTTCAGTGTGTGGATGTCGGTTTTCTCTCTCTCGCTCGCTTACAGTATAACGTATCTCTCTCTCTGTGTGGCGATGTTGTTGTTGTTTGTTGTCGTCGTCATTATTATTATTACGAGTGTCTCTGTGCAGCAGGGCAGGGAGGAGGCAGCCAAGTGGGGAGGAGGAGGAGGAGGAGGAAGGCAGTGGGGAGGAGGAGGAGGAGGAGGAGGAGAAGGAAGGAGGCAAGGAGGGATGGAGATCAATCCTCCTCCGGCTCCTCGGCCTGCAGCAAGGCTCCCGGCGGGCCGGCGGCGGCGGCGGCGGCGGCGACGCTGCTGCTGCTGCTGCCCCCCTCGGCCTCGGGCGGCTGCTCGGCTCCCCCGGAGGAGGGCGAGGAGGCCGCGGCGGTGGCGGCCGCCCGCTTGTCCCTCTGCTTCTCCTGGATCTTCTTCATCTCGTCCGAGTACTTGCAGAAGGTGTGCCCGAACTTGGCCCACACCTTGTAGGGGACGGTGATGGAGTTGCGGTAGGTGGGCTTGACCTCGCTCACCCGCATGAAGACGCCGTACTTGTTGGAGCCCACGTCGAAGAAGAAGCGCTTGTTGTCCACCGTCAAGGAGGTGCCCTCGGGCAGCTCGGCCGGCTCCTCCTCCACGCCGTAGTCGTCGATCAGCTTGGCCAGGGCGTCGCGGAACTCGATCAGCCCCTGCGCCGGCAGCGCGATGGTCTGCCCCTGCGTGGAGCCCAGGCCCGGCCCGCGGTTGACCGTCTGCCGGATGCGCAGGAACCGCCCGCGCTGGTTCTCCTTCAGATCCATGTAGTACTTGCGGTTCTCGCGCACCAGGAACTCGCTCTTGAGGGCCCTCCGCGGCTCGTCCGCGGCCTGCGCCAGCTCCGGCGGCTGGCTGGGGCCCAGCTGCGCGTAGTGCTCGATGAAGTCGCCCAGGTAGTCGCGGAACTCCACCGCCACCGACATGGAGAGCGTCAGGCGGCTCTTGCTGCCCCCGGCGCCCACCTCCGCGATCTTCAGGAAGCGGCCCTTGGCGTTCTGCTTCACGTCCAGGTAGAAGCGCTTGTTCTGGATGTCCACCCGCTTGGAGGCCAGCTCCTGCGTCTCGTGCTGAAGGCCCACGCCGCCGCCGCCGGGCCCGCTGCCGCCACCACCGCCGCCGCCCGGGCCCGGAGCCCCGCCGCCGCCGCCGCCACCCTGCTCGCTGCCGCTGTCTCTGTCCGCCATGATGCTGCCGCCGGGCCTCCCGAAGCCCGCCTGCGCCCCCCGGCCGCCGCCGCCTCCGCCGCCGCCGCCGCCTCCTCCGCCTCCCGCCGCCGCTACTGCTCCTGCTGCCGCCGCCGCCGCCGATCCAACCCCCTCCGCAGCCGCCACCAGCAGCAGCAGCAGCAGCAGCAGCCAGCCGCTCTCGCGAGATCTGTGGAGGAGACAGAAAGAGAGAGAGCGGCTAACATGGCAGAGAGAGAGAGAGAGAGAGAGAGAGGGGCGCGCGCGACTGTGTACAGTAGCCGGGAAGGGAGGAAGGGAGGGAGGGAGAGAGAGAGAGTGAGGCGGTGGGGGGGAGGGAGGGAGGGAGGCGGCGAAGGAGCCCCAGGATGTAAGGCGGCCGCCGCCGGCAGCGCCCCGCCGCCCGGGCCGGGCGAGGGCACAGAGGAACAGCCCGCTTTAGTGGCGCTCAGGCCCCACCCACCTGCCCGAGGCTGCTCCTTCCAGCCCCTCAGAGGGACCCGCGCGGATCCTCACGCCGCCGCCCGTCAGAGGGAGGCAGGCAGGGACAGACGGACGGAGCGGCTGCCAAGCCCCGGGCCCCCTTTTCTGTCACTCGCCTCCTCGCGCGCGCACACGCGCCGACCGGCGAGGGCCCCCCCCCCCGCCTTCCACCCCATTAAAAAAGGCTGAGAGGGGAAGGGAGACGCGCCGAAATAGCCCCGACCTGACCGGCGTCCGCGGGACTCCCGCCGTTTCCCCTCAGGCGGCGCCTCTCACGCGCTTCTCCACATTTCTCCTCAGCGGGAAAGAGGGAGGGAGGCTCCCACTCGGACAGCCGCTCTTTCCCTCCGCGCACCTCAGGCGCGGGACCGGGACGGAGGGCTGGCGAGGGCCTCCCTCAGAGACAGGAGTAGCAATAATAGTACTGTAATAAAAAGTGCCCGGAAGATGGAGGGAAGAAAGAAAGGGGGGGGGCAGGAGATCCTTCTTCATGAGAATCGCTTCCAACCCGGGTTGGAGGATGCCGACGTGCCTCATCAGTGTCCGTGGCCGGCGAAGAGGAAGGAGGAATCTCTTCCATCTTTCCACAATAAATATGCTATAAAGTCAATGCCACACAACTTTTTTGGGATTTCGCTATGCCTGAAATCCCGCCCGCCTCAAAGGTCCTGTCCGGACAGCGGCAGCTGACCCCTCCGGCCGCCCCCCTCAGAAAGGGCGACCCCGGCTCCGCCCGCCTGAGCAGCAGCAACTCCGGCGCCCTTTTGCGCGCCTTGCTGGCGGGGAAGCAGGCCGCGCAGGGAGGAGGAGGAGGTCAGCTCTGGATCCCACGCAAGAGCTTCGCCTGGAGTGGAGGTTGCGCAGCTAGGGCTCCCTCGAAGTTAGAGGCCGCCCCAGCCCTCCTGACAGCCATCCCGGGAAAAGGGAGCTGTTCTGTGGCCAGGCCTGCCCCTGCATTTCCTCCTCCTGCGAGGTGGGAAGAGGCAGATTCAGGACTCGGCGAACTTCTGTTATGTTGCTCCTGCCCAGACCATGCTGGCAGGACCCCTTCGCTTGCTTGCACTGGGGCGAGTGCGGCCTTTGGGCAGGATGGCACAGAAGTCAGAAGAGCATGATAAACGTATACATTATTCCAGCAAATTCAGTGGGATTGTGTGCCTGCAAGTGCGTGCTTTTAACTGGAGGAACCGCTCTGCGTTGTGACGAGCGTGGCTGGAGATCGAGCAGCTCCCCTTTTCCCTTTCTCAGCGGGGCTGGTTCTGCGGGCATCTATCGCCGCGCCGTATTTCTGCATAACCGGCGAAAAACAGGCCTGCCTGCAATGGGACAGGGGGATCATAGAATCATAGAGTTGGAAGGGACCACAAGGGCCATCGAGTCCAACCCCCTGCCAAGCAGGAAACACCATCAGAGCACTCCTGACATATGGTTGTCAAGCCTCTGCTTAAAGACCTCCAAAGAAGGAGACTCCACCACACTCCTTGGCAGCAAATTCCACTGTCAAACAGCTCTTACTGTCAGGAAGTTCTTCCTAATGTTTAGGTGGAATCTTCTTTCTTGTACTTTGGATCCATTGCTCCCTGTCCGCTTCTCTGGAGCAGCAGAAAACAACCTTTCCCCCTCCTCTATGTGACATCCTTTTATATATTTGAACATGGCTATCATATCACCCCTGAACCTCCTCTTCTCCAGGCTAAACATGCCCAGCTCCCTTAGCCGTTCCTCATAAGGCATCGTTTCCAGGCCTTTGACCATTTTGGTTGCCCTCCTCTGGACACGTTCCAGTTTGTCAGTGTCCTTCTTGAACTGTGGTGCCCAGAACTGGACACAGTACTCCAGGTGAGGTCTGACCAGAGCAGAATACAGTGGCACTATTACTTCCCTTGATCTAGATGCTATACTCCTATTGATGCAGCCCAGAATTGCATTGGCTTTTTAAGCTGCCGCGTCACACTGTTGGCTCATGTCAAGTTTGTGGATGAGAGTCTCCATTTGGAATAGAAGCCGACAGACTCCCCAGGGCCGCTCTCTGCCTTTCCAGGCCTTGCTTCCTAAGGCTTGAATGCTAGGCCTTCCCCGCAGACCCGAGGAGCTGCAGATCTCGGGGTGCAAACTGCAGGCGCGGAAAGGACCAAGCAAAGGACCAGCCACCGCCATCGCGGAGGACTCCGGATACCCGGGAGCTGCAAGGCGCGCATTTTACTCACCGGCTGCACTGATGGAGTGCACGCGCGGGGGTGCGGCGAGGGAATGAGCTGCCCATTATGGGAGCCCTTGTCCCACATACAGTGGTACCTCGGGTTAAGTACTTAATTTGTTCCGGAGGTCTGTACTTAACCTGAAACTGTTCTTAACCTGAAGCACCACTTTAGCTAATGGGGTTTCCCGCTGCCACCGCGCAATTTCTGTTCTCATCCTGAAGCAAAGTTCTTAACCCAAGGTACTATTTCTGGGTTAGCAGAGTCCGTAACCTGAAGCTTATGTAACCCGAGATACCACTGCACTGCCCCTAGGTAGCCCCCCTTCTTCTGCCACCCGTTTTGCGGATCCTTGGCTGCGCGAAGTTCGTTCCCTCGCCCCGGATTCCCTGGTCAAGAGCCGACGTGGCTCCCCGGGCTTTCCCTTTCCTGGCCAGCCGCGGCTCGGGCGGCCGGGACGCTTCCTTCCTTAGCCGAGGGACCAGGTGAGCGACGGGGGTGGCTCCCCTTCGGCTTTCGTTCGCTCCTGCAAGCAGGACTTGGGGCGCGAGAGGCGGAGCTTTGCAGAGCCCAGCTGGGAAGCTGCTTTCTGGCCGGCGAGGGAGCTGCCCGGAGGGCTTAGTCCCGCGGGCTCAAAGGGGCGGCGGCGGCGACGGGGGCACCTCAGCCTCCAGGGCGAGCTGGCTGCGCCTCCCCGCTTTCCTCGGCCACGTGTCAAAGCATCCTCAAGTGCAGCCCCGTCCCCGACCCCAAGCACAGAATCCAGAAGGAAGCGTTGCTTTCCCTGGGGCAGGAAGGCTGAGGAGGGGGCGGGAGAGAGGCAGCCTTGGGCTCCCCCCGGTTTGGCTCAAGCCAAATGGGAAGAACTCGAAGAGAAGCGGCGAAGAGCGCATCCACTCGCACCTGCAACCTTCCCTTGCTCAGCAAGCGAGTCCTCGGTCCTTGCACTTCGCATACGCGCGGCGCGCAGCTTTTCATTCAGCCCACATTTTTTTCCCCTAACCCGACGGGTTATTAGACGACCAGTTTGAGATGAGACCCAGTTCTCATGCCGCTGCCACCTACTTGAGGAGCATGGACTAAAAACGTAAAAACCTTGCTGATAGAAGAAGATACGCTTGCGTGTTGCGGGAGGGAAATTACTGGAAGGAAATGTAGTCCAGGTTTGGAACCCGAAAGTCCCCCTTCATTGTAAGAGCAAAACATTAAGGAAGATTTTATGGCCAAAACAACAGCAATTCATTGTTGAATTTTAAACAAAGTAGGTGAGCCAAAATGAAATAATTAGGGTTTGCGTTTCACATCAAGTATGTGACATCTAGAGCTATTTTAGTGTGTGTATATCTTTGTAGAAGATTTTAAATCTGGTTAGTTCATACAGCTAACATTCCATTTTAATTTCTAAGTAATATTTTCTACCCATACAGTTCTATTTTAATAGCTTTGATTCTAACTTCTTTATTTTTCATAAAATAAATCCCAGGCTCTGAGAAATACAGTTGACAACTAAAAATAAAGGGAATGTAAAAATTGTTGTCTACTCTTGGGGGGAAAAACATAATAGATTTCCAGATAAAAGTGTGTGTGTTTATTAAACTCATTAAAAATAATCCTTACATGTGTATAAATCATGTAGTTCTCTATACATTTAGTTTGCTAAAGCTGTTTAAAATAGATTTTCAAGGCTTTTAGCACATAACAGCAATTGTAAAACCTTCCCCTAGAATTTTTTATTGAAGCTTTACTGAAATTCCAGTGTAGAAATATTCCATTATATGACTATAGCTAACATACATCTGCTACTTATGAATATTCTATTATAATACACTTAAAAACTAGCAAGTCTATCAACTCCTACACTTGCTGTGGAAGCAGGTGTTCAGATTTCACACTCATTTTAATCAAATTAGAAGCAGTTTATCTTTTGATTTTTGCTAAGTTAGCAAAACAATGAATTCAATGAGACTTCTGAGTAAGAATGACAGTTAATTTAATAATCTAATTACAAAATTTAATGCTACACAACTAGATCTTTAAAAAGTAGGATGTAAAAAGTAAAGCACATACAAGAAGGGATTCAGATGTATTTATTTATCAAATAAGGTATATACATTTTTTTAAAAAAACTATTTATTTGCCTCATTTAAAAGCATCATAATTATGGCATGCAAGTTGGCATTTAGTGTGATTTCAAAAATAATGAAGAAAAATAAAATTCTTTAAAACTTCCACAAGACTATGACTGCATATGACTCAACAAGAAAACAAAGTAAAGATTTGCTCACTTTTAAGTAAACAGGGGAAACGACCAGCATAAAACTCTGCATGGAATAAAACAACAAATGTTAAGCAACATATTCATTTTTTTAAAGAGCTCACAGTTACTTTGGAAGCTTCAATAAAAATTAGATTTCTTAAAGGAACTTTCCCCCAGATCAACCAATCAGTGTGCAAATGATGAAGAAATACAAGGAGAATAAAGGGGCTCAAAACACACTGACATCCAAAGGCTTAGGAAGTGATAAATTTAAAACAGAAGAAACAGCCAATCAAAACCTTTTCATCACTACTAATAAAAAGTTAACAATTGTTGAAAATATTGTGTACATGTACATTGTCAGCTTTGTTGAAACAAAATACTTGAGAAAAACAGGAAATAAAAGGGTACAAATAATTTAAAAATTATTGGCTTTGAAAGGTTGATTATAGTAAAGTTTTAGTTTGGGGAACATCTATTATCATTTATATACTACACTAAAAATATGAAATTTTAAAGAAAAAAGTGTATTTATATTATCTGTAAAAACGATTTAAAACTGATCTTTCACAACATGTGAAATAGTTATTTAGTAAGAGTTTGAACCCCTTAGGCTACAATTTCTCAAGTATGTAAAAAGATTTTAGTCCCTTAGGCTACAATTTCTCAAGTATGTAAAAAGATTTGAGTTCCCTGAGTTGGGACTACTGAATTTTGAATCCCTCAGTTTCACTAAAGTCACCAGCTTCTGTAAGATGTCTAACATCCTTACAGATCTTGTAGATTTTTAAAGAAACAAATTAACCCACAAAAAACTTAAGTTTAAAACACAAAGACCCACAAATAAACCAGAGGAATGAAAAAAGTTTTCTAATCATTATTATAACAATAGCTTCAGGTACTGTAATTATATCTTATCTTACTATTTACTAATTATGGGCCACTATTCTTGCAACAAAGAGACTACAAAAATATTTTATATCAAGCAGAGGAAATAAAGGTTGGTTTTCTGCAACTATGTTTAAATTTGATCCATGTAGTGTGACACTAAGCAAATTTGCTGAAGTTTCAGTGTATTAATTGGAACTGATATGAATATGCACGCTTAGAATCACAGTGCTACCAGAAGTGTATTTTTGCCCATCACTATTGCTTTTATCACACTCAGCCTGAAAAAGTTCATTTGCTATTAATATAATCTTATAGATGTATTAATAAATGCACTACAGAAAACAATTGCAGATCTGCTAGGGAAAAAACCCTAGTGCACTTCAGTACTGTACTTTATTTTGATAACTTGTGTTTTAGTTCAGTAATGGTCAAGTTTGAATGTTTACAGCTTCAGCCTATAGTATCTTTAAACAATTGTCAGCTAGCACAACTTTTCACAAAATAAATGAAAATATTAAATAGCAGGTGAAATCATACTGACGCGTTGAAGTAAAGAATTTTCCATCCCCAGTACCTATGAAACTCTCCCCTTTCCCAACATTTAAGGCAACAGCTTTTATCCCTTTGCAAACCACTAGAAAATTGCTGGGGGGTCTTGGGCTTAATATATTTTTTAAATTTGTTGTTCTACAAAACACATTTTAATGAGTATATGCAACTATGTAATGCAACCACGGTCATAACCACGATTACACAACCCTAGCCCTCTGATCCCAGCTATCAGAGGGGAAGAAATGAATTAACTGTCAAGGCTAAGTACAGATATTCCGGACTGTTCTGTAACCTTTCTGAGGACCAGCAAAATGGAGCTGTCAACCATCAGTGGTCCACAGACCTCACCCTGAAAATCTCTTAAGTAGGCTCTTGCCTTTTTTTTTTTTTACCTGGAAGAATCAAATATGTTTAATTCAGAAAAGTTGTAGAAAGTCCACGTTTCCCATAGCTGGAAAATTTCTTACATAAGGAACTAAAATTGAGAAATTGGGAAGCGGTGCAGCACCTCCAGGTAAGTCAGGGAGATACTTCCTGCCTGAAGCGCTGGTGAGCTGCTGTCAATCAGCACAGACAATTCGCAGTTAGATGGACCAGTGGTCTGACTCAGTACAATAAAGTTGCTGTAAAACACTGGAGATTACATTTAGAGTAGAATACAAATTAATGAACGTTTCGCTAAGAAGTCAAAGACAGTGATTTTTCTCCAGCACCGAAACCGCTACTTGTCACCTGCTTAATCTGTCATTTGATACATTGTCGCAAACTTTTAAGAGTTTTGCTTCTCAAAATTGGCATCATGGCATGTCCAGCTCCTCTCATCCTCCTAACCAACACGTGAAAAACTGCAGGTATGGGTATTAACAGTTGCAAACGCTTTAAATATTTCCGCCAATATGATGCACCTTGGTGGCCCTAATAATAATTATAATCACACAAATCCGTAGGTTTTGCAACAAACCGCCGCCGCCGCCGCCGCTATTCTTCCGTCTTGCCATGGAAGAATACAGTCTCCCGCCTAAGCGCTGCCCTCCTTACCGAGCGAGCCTGGGCATCTTTTACTTGGAAGTAAGGCCGGCGGCGGAGTTCAATGCCACTTACTCCCAAGTAAAGGCGCGGCTGATTCTCGCCACGTTCCTGTCCGGGCCGTCAGGCGATGCCCCAGCCCCAGGTCCGCCTCCCTCCTCCCGGCAGCCGAAGGTCCGCTGCGAGACGGAGCATCGCCGGGCGCGATCCCTGCAGCCGCCGGCGGACAGCGGGCGCAACCAAGGCGGCGGCGGCGGCGGCGCGGGGCTCCTGGGCTCGCTCTTCCGCAGCCTCGACCCGCCGGGCACCTGTTTCGAGCGCGGCCGCGGCGGCGGCGGCAGCAGCGCGGAGAGCCGAGGCGCCGGGGCGGCCGCAGAGCAGGCCTCGCTGGGCAGCAGCCTGGGCCCTGGGCTGGCTGGGCCGCTGGGGCTCCGCCTCCCCTGCAGACGAGCCGCGAGTCGTGGCAGGCGAGCGGGCGGCGCCACCTGGCGCGGACCCCGCCGCCCCGTCCTTTCCCTCCGCCTCTTCCGGCCTCGGAGCAGCCCGGGAGGCCCGCTTGGGCCTGGCGGCGGGCGGGCGCGCCTCCTCGGGCCGGGCGCTCCGGGGAAGGATGCAGGGCCCGCCCGGGGGAGAAGGGAAGAAGGGAAGAGCGAGGCGGAGAGAGAGAAAGGCTTCTTCGGGGTGCCCCCCCCGCCCCCCGCCACGCCGAGCTTGGCTTTGTTTGCGTGACGCGCCGGTCTGGCGAGGGAGGCGCTTCTCGGCTCCCGCCCCCCTCTCCGCCCCCCCCCCGCATTTGGGGTCGGGGGGGGGCAGCCGGGCAGCAATATGGTCCATCGCCCCCGGGCCGGCATGTTCCCGGCCTTTGGAAAAGCTGCAGAGAGTGGGGCATTCATCTCGCGTTTTAAAGTGCTGCGTTTGAAAAAGGCTTGTTGCCTCCTCCTTCTCCTCCTCCTCCTCCTCTTTTTCCTCCTCCTTCTCCTCCTCTTTTTCCTTCTCCTCCTCGGATTTGTTTCTCTTGCTTTTCTTCATAGTCTGGTTGGTTATCTTTTCTCTATGAGTGCATTTTTAGATTGTAAGCCCGTGTGCAGGGACTTGTGTGAATTGCATGTGAGCGGCTTGGGGAGCTGGTTTTGACTGTAGAGCAGGATACAAATGCTCTGCATAATAGATAAATAAATGAGTCGTGAGAATGTGGGACCCAAGGCCATCCTCTCTCCACCACACACACACTTTCACCCCAGCAGGCAGTGAGAAACCATGCAGACATTTATAGGGCTTACCCTCTGCCCATGTGCTACCTATTCATGTCTGCGTATGCGTGTGTGAGAGAGGTTCAAGTGGACATTGTCCTTCAGACTCGTGGAAGAGGCAAAGCCTATTGTTGTAAACCAACTGACAATAAATACTAAAAGATTCAGCAAGTAATAGAGCTTTTAAGCCATTCATCTTAAGGCACATTAATATTTACTAACAATAACATTAGACATTAGACTTTAACTGTCTAAGTTAAATATTATAAGAATTGGGATTTGGAAAACTGTTAAAAGGACATGCAATGAAATTCAACCAAGGGGAAGCGAGGACGTCACCTAACAAAGTTAATAAGTGTAATTTTCAATAAGGCTATGATTTATGTTTGTTTGTCTTATGTGTTTGTTGGTTTATAATATTGTGAAAGCTAATAAAAAATTTTTTTTTTTTACTAACAATAACTTATAAACCGAGGGTGGAGAATTCTTTTTTTCTCCTTTGGGAAAACAGCAACAAATAATAATTGCTTTATTAAGTGTATTATAAGTTCTGAATTATAAATACATTAAGATACATATTGTAAAGCCTTGGAAGAAAGTGGCATCTCCTGAAGCTCTGGCTAGTCATAGTCAGTTTAAGAATTGGATCCACTATCTAACAGGGGCAATTTTACTATATCCGTGAAGAGGGAATCAGGCGAAGACACACATGCCTCATCGGGCAGGTCAAATATACAATCAAAGAGAAATATCCCCATTTATAAATCTGTTTTACATTGCCTGCCCCCTCCCCCATTCTCTCATTCCTCTATATACTCACACACTCTTTCAACTTAGCAGACTCTCTTAACTGCCTAAAGCATATTTCCTCAACTGTCTCAGAATACTGCTGTCAGTCACTTAAAGTTCTCCACCAACGTTCTAGTAGTAGCACATTACATGCAATTTTGCCCTTGTTTTCAGTTTTCCTAAGCATGCCCAGATATAGTTCTCTTTCTTCCTGTGTGCTGAGAAAGGAGCAGTTAACATGTCCATATAGTGGTGCTACCTTGGGCACATTTTCGATTGACGATCTATATGGATGCATGGTCACAACTAGAAAATGATCAAAATGTAGTTTGAGCACAAATATATGGATTCTAATACCTAAAAGTTTGGGGAAAGTCAGGACACAAGCTAAATGTTGTATTTGCTCTGTAATTGCCACAAATATTGGGTAGGCCAGCAGATCCTTTCTCATGAGTTGTGTTCCATCCATCAAGCTAGGTAGCATCTACCATATTATGCTCTTTAATTTGGATTAGTTAACATGGATTAAATGTTATCGAGTCTGATTTTACCATCCCTGACACACATTATTATACATGTTAGGGTTCTTTCTCATGGTTGCTTAAGAACACAATAATTTCCTTACTGGATACAACCAAATTGTCCACCCAGAGAGGTTCAGAGCATAAAGGCATTGCTCCTCATTTCCCTTGGACATTCCCTTGGTTCAGTATGTATCTGAAACTGCTGGGTTTATTACATGAAAATAGGTTTTGAAGCCATCCATCCCCTAGTGACGCCCATTGTATGTTTCTCCATTTCAGCCAGTCCAGACCTTGCAGTATTGATGGTCACATGGTGGAGAACATCAGAGAGAAGTGTATCCCCGAATGTTCTGTTCTGTAAGATACAACACATAATACAGACAATATCCGTCCTGTTTTGAAAAGCTATAGGTTGCTTAACAGCCAAAGGCCTGATTGAAGAGATATGTTTTCACCTGAAGTATAAAGATATCTAGTAAATGGACCATGTGAGTCTCCCACAAATGAGGAACCATCATAGAAATAGCTATATCATGGGCTAATAAATAAGCAAAATACAGTGGTACCTCGGGTTAAGTACTTAATTCGTTCCGGAAGTCTGTTCTTAACCTGAAACTGTTCTTAACCTGAAGCACCACTTCAGCTAATGGGGCTTCCTGCTGCTGCTGCGCCGCGCTGTTTTCATCCTGAAGCAAAATTCTTAACCTGAAGCACTGTTTCTGGGTTAGCGGAGTCTGTAACCTGAAGCGGATGTAACCCGAGGTACCACTGTACCTCTCAGCATCTCCCACCTCTTGCATTACAAATCACTATCGGATATATTTGATTTGTATTATTAGCATGAAAGAATGGGAAGAACCTGCTCTTCTCTATCCCTAGAGGATCTTGGCATGTAGTCATAGAATCAGAATCCTAGACTTGGAAGGGACCATGAGGGTCATCTAGTCCTACCAGAACCTCAACACACAGCCTCCCATTCAGTCCAAAACCACACCATGCCAGCAGTTTGGCTGCTGCACCACTAGGAGGACAGAAAGGGATTGGATGTATATGAACACAGATCTCCAAGCCTAAAAGGGAGAAATATCTATATTATTTGGGAAACTTGGATACATTCCTTCAATGATTGTTTCCAAAGGTGTTGGGATATATTTATAGGAGAAGTCTGTTCCTTTTAAAAAAAGTTTCCTACAGTTTCCTTCAAACACAATGGGGTAGTTCAAATTTCAGCATTAAATTTCAGAACTAAGCTGTTCTTAAACCAAGGTACCACTGCAGTTTTGTTCCTAAACACCACATGGCCCCAAACCATTTGCAGTGCTGAGTGCTGCTTTTCAGAATTCCAGCACCTCCATTCTTCTCTGTTCCAGGTGTTCCTCTGCTCTGTTTGGTATCCAGTGCCCACTGAAGGTGCTTAGTCCTTGTTTGCAAGTTTGTTGGGTTTTCCCCTCCATTCCAGCCTCCACCCCCTGCCCCCATTTTGTATTTCTTGGTATGTATGTGCATAAGCTTTAGTTTCTGTGATCATTCTCCAGTTTCATTCCTAGGAACACTTAAGAAGTGGTTATTCTTACCCTTTATGGTTTTTCTCTCCCCCCCTTCCACTCCCCTTCTCCCCTTGGTTTATTTCCTTATTGTTATTGTCACATATCTTGTATTTTTATGCTGTGAACCACCCTAAGATCGACAGATGAAGGACGGTAAGCAAATTTAAATCAACCAACCTGCTGCCAGCATTTCTAAACATTCCATGCCATGGAGTTCTTATGGGGCCGCCCCCTCCATTTTTATTTGGCAAAAATGTGAGAATCTGCAAACTTTGTGGCCCGCTAATGCCTCGCTCTTGTGGGTGAGTAGGTGGTGTGGCTTTGACTTGGGACAACTTGAATCAGAAGGCTGATAAAATGTTAGAATGAATCCCTGGCGTTTGTATACTACCTGAAGATGCAATTGTGTGAGCTGAAACAAATAAATATTAGTATCAATGACAGGAATCTTTGCTCTGACTCTTGTGCAATTTAAAAAAGTAAGCAGTTTTACCTTTGCTGCAACTTGAGAGGAATGGGGGATTTTTGACTGGATGCTGTGAGCGGCTGCTTTTTCCCAGTGCAACTCTCCAACCTGCAATAGAGGCATTACATTGAATACACAAGCTTTCAGTCCAAGCTGCAATGTGTGGATAAAGGCAATGGATTTTATTATTAGGTTGAGTTTTAGCTCAACTCTCAACTTGCAGCCAGGGTCTAATACTTCTGGATAATGCTATTCAGAACCCGATCTTCAGACTACAATACAGGACTGCTATTAAGTCACTCTCCTCCAGCCACAGCCCCTTCCAACCTGCAACGTGGAGAATGGACTGCACTTGCTTTGGAATTTTATTTGCAGTGCTATCTTTAAATGTTTTTAAAAGAACAAAAACTAAGTTAGAAAGAGCAGGGACATTTGTTTTTGCTGCCACCTTTTTTTTTTGGGGCTATTTATTTATAAATTGCGGATGCGGGTGGCACTCCCCTGGCTACTTTAAAAACCTTGGCTTTCTCTATTGATTTCTATACGCAGCTCTCACTTCTGCCCCTGGAGACATTAAAAATAGCTCTCAGTGTGAATAAGGAAATGACCTCTCCAGAGATGAGATGGTACTCTCATCCCTCTTTGAGAGGCATCTCCTGGGGCTTTGAAATCGGCCAGGGAGCCTCAGCAGATAAGGAAGGCTCATCACTGCAGACCTGCTGAATGTGCCATTGCCAGCGTGGAGGACCACTGCACTGCTGGGATGGGGCTAAACACAGTCTCAAGGCCCCTTTCTGCTCTACCCTGACTAAAGCAAAGTTTTTTGAGTGGGGGTCGGGTGTTGGTGCCTGGAGGCACCTATCAGGGTGCTGGGCAGAGGGGTGATAGCCAATGTGCTCAAGCTCCCATGTGTGCTGAGGCCAAGCTAAGTGCTTTCTGTGTGGCTAAGTGCTCTTTCCACCATCGCAAGTTCCTTCCTGTGGGCTTTGAGTGTGGGCGACGTGAGACCCGAGAGCTACTATACCCACATCAGAACAAAATGCACTCTTCCCTTTCAGAAACTGGAAATATATTTAGAAATAAAACAGACTGTTTGTACTACCCTCTAGTGGTGACTCAAAGTCATTTGCACTATTAAAAATGTTACAACTCGAGTCTTTTTGCTTTTCCTCTTGCTGAAAAGCAATCTCCTGCCCCAGCTTCACTTTCTGTCAAGATTTCGTAATAGCTCTGTCTAGTTCCACCTCCAGTTCCACTTCTAGTTCCTTGCCTCCACTCACATAGAAAGGGCTTGCAGGGAAGGTGGCACAAGAAGGGCACAACAGCCATGCAGCCATGGGTGGAACCACGGGGGGGGGGCAGGGACGAGCAGCTGCCCCCCATAATCAATAAAAATCAATTAAAAAATAGCAAACTGAGGTTCTCCCCCCCACTCAACAAAAGGCCTGCCCTCCCTAACAAAAATCCTAGCTATGCCCATGCATGCATCCCTCGATCACAGCTGGTGAGGCTGGAATTGAAGGGTGAACAGCTGCCACATCCCCATGCTGCTGCCCCCCCTAGCAGCCTTGCAAGGTTGGGGTCCAGGGAGGGTGGCGCAAGAAGGTAAAACAGCCATGTGTTGTCAGTTGATCGCCTACTCGGAGGGGAGCCTGGCCAGCCAACATGGCACTTGGCAGGCTCAAAGCAGGCACCCCCATGCTAATGTGCCAGCCAGAGGCATAGCTAGGGGGTGGGGGTCACTGGGCGCCCCACCATGGGGGCCGGCACTTACCGTGGGGCCTGCAGCGTGCCTGAGCCACATGTCTCTCCTGGGAGTGACGTGGTGGCTTGGGCGCCTCCAGGCTCTGCGCTGCTGGAAATGGCAGCGTGGGGCTTGTGTCTGCCCGCCGCCTCTCCCTCAGCCACCCTACAGTTGAGGGGGACGCAGTGGCGAGGCTCTGTGCAGTGTGCCTTGCTTCGTCACTACCGGGACTTGGGAGTTTTCCTGAGGTGGGGCCTGTGGCAGATCTCTGTCTGAGTAGTGGGATCAGTTTTCAGAACTTGGACGAAAAAAGCAGGAAAACATTGATCCATCATATGATTTCACAGCTCACATGTGGGCAGTCTGTGACCTGGGGCCACAACCAGCCCACAATATCATTCTATGCAGCCTCCGGCCCTTCTGAAGAGGCCACATATTTCCATCCTACCCCGATTCCTTCCTACCTGTTTGTTTCCTCCTTTTCTCAAGGCTTCTTAAAGTGTCCTTTCCTTTCCTATATCATTTCAGAACAATTGGAAGGGGCAGCATTTTTGTGAACAATTTGTGTCACAATCATGTCACAATTGCACCATACCCTCCAACATCCTCCTGGTCAAAATTGGGATACTCATTTTTTTGGTCCTGAGCTCTCGCAGGGGTCAGGTGACTCTCTCAAGAGTGCGAGAACAAAACACAAGAGTTTTTTGCTCTGGCACTCTGGCCTCGGCCAGCTGATATGCCCCACAGCACCAGATGAAAAAGAGAGGACATGCTGGGATGACTTCTATAATTCTAGGATGTCCCACTTAAATTGGGATGG